GGTGGCATGCTTTCTGATCTCTTCCGTGATGAAGGGTATGTTGAGGTCGTTGTGGGTATGTCTCTTCATCTTCTTTTCACGTCTTCTGTATGAATATGTTTTCTTTCTCCAGTGCTTGCCTCTGTAATTTGTCTCTTAAATGTTGTCAAGTACTTCAGTAGATGGATCTACTTATAAGCATTACAATACGCGGTATGTAACTTCTCTAATATGGCTCTACAGCCCTTTCTTATTGCTAGTGGGGTGGGACTAACTCCCTTGTACTGCGGCCACTTCTGGCCTATTGTACCAGCCCCAGATGATAGGTGAGGGCGATTGTGGAGCAATTGGTGGAATGAAGATTGACAGGGGAAACCGAAGTACTCGGAGAAAACCTGCCCCAGCGCCACTTTGTCCACCACAAATCCGACTTGACAAGACCCGGGATCGAACCCGGGCCGCCGCTGTGGGAGGCCAGCGACTAACCGCTTGAGCTATGGCGCGGCCCTTGGTTAGGCCTTGGTCGCTTTTTCAGTTTCTTAATCTATACACTCTTGGTAGGACTGCTCGGACGGAGGATCAGCCCGTCGCAAGGCTTGTGCCTACACACAGGACAACACAGATACAGAATAAACGCACACAGATATCCATGCCTTGTGTGGGTTTCGAACCCACGATCGCAGTGTTCAAACGAGATAAGACGGTTCATGCCTCAGACCGCGCGGCCACTGTGATCGGCCACACATTCTAGCACTCGTATATATAGTGTATCCTTGTAAACCTCGCTGCTGAATTATTACTTGATTACTATCTTCCAAAAATTATAACTTTGATTGTTGTTATTACTATTTTGTTATAATCACTCAGGTGTTATAAATTACCTTGCTTTGTACTTTGTGTTTGTTTCTTACTTTCACTCGTTCTCACGTTGTAATTGGCCCTTGGGCTGTTGAGTTAACAGGCAAATAAATATGAATTTACTTTCATCATCCTAGTAAGATCTAAACTTGAGTATGCCTCCGTTGCTTGGGATTCTGTTACGTCTACAGAACCGACAAACCGAAATGCACCCAGCGAAGTGTGAAGTCCTTTGTTTCTTTTAGCTACTTTCTCCACGAAGAAAGCAGTCTTCTGGGATGTGGCACCGTGTAACTGTGGTGTTAACCGATGTTTCGGAGGCACGTATCGCCTCCATCTTCAGGGTAGAAGGAACAATAAAAAATCTGCAAGCGAAGAGACCCTGAAGATGGAGGCGATACGTTCCTCCGAAACGTCGGTTAACACCATATCTACACGGTACCACATCCCAGAAGACTGCTTGTCACCACCGTGAAAACCTCAAATATTACGTACTTTCTCCATGTTCGTTATTGTTATGATAATGCTGTGGAGCACTTAAACCTCCACACCCCGTTAAGAGGAGGTAGAAACTTGATTCACTGTTCGTTATTCAAGTTTACCTTGGTCTTAACTTCTGTTCTTCCCTTTTGGAAACTGCTAGTCTTCGTGTCCCTACTTGCTAAGTCTGCTGTTCAAGTGAAAATTGTACGTTTGTTAGATGTTAACCCAGCTGCTAATGCTGTTTATAGGAACGTTGACATATGTAAACCAAAATAGATTTCTCTTAATCACATTTTATTTGATGAATGTATTCATTGTATTCATAATGATTTTATATATTTTTTCTCATCATATGGATAACTTTATTGCACAAATGGAATTATTATTGTAATTATTACCATCATATTTATTATAATCATCCACGTGACACAGCTTGGCTTTTTTGTCTTTTATTTGTAGTGCTATGTTTCTCTTCCCCCCCCCCTTTTTATCTTTACTGATGCTCGCTTTGTAATTGGCTTTTGGGCTATTAAGTCAGCACGTAGGCCTAAATAAGGAAGGAATTGAATTATTACTATTTGAGGCACTATGCTACAAGCCGGAAGGTCGCGGGTTCAGGTCCCGATGAGATCTTTGAAATTTTTTCAGTTGACCTAATCCTTCCAGCCGCACTATGGCCCTGGGGTTTGATTCAGCCTCCAGCAGAAATGAGTACGAGGAATTAATTAAATAATTTTCCTAAGGAGTAAAGCGCGGCCGGCGCGTAAGTCTGACAACCTTACCGCCATCTTTGAGCCGATTGTCTAGATAGTGTGGGACCCTCAGCGTCTCACAACCCTATGGGCCTTCACCGCCTGTTATAGGGATAGCTTTTACTTTACTTTAATTTTATTATTATTAGGCTGCCTCTGTGGTCTAGTGGTCAGAGTTCCTGACTGCAGATCCAGAAGTCCGTGTTTGATTTCCGGCGCTGCCAGATTTTCTGAGAAGTAATGGGTCTAGAACTGGGTCCACTCAGCCTCGTGAGGATAATTGAGGAGCTATTTCAAGTAAGTAGCGGCTCCGGTCTAGAAAATCGAAATTAACGGCCGTGGGGATCCGTTGTGCTGACCACGTGACACCCTCTATCCGCTAAAGTTGGCACCAACTTCGCCGACAAGCGGCGGTCGCTCGGTCGGTACATTTCGCTCGCGGACTGAAACCACAGTTTTTTATTATTATTACTATTATTGCTTATCCTAAAACGTGAACCATAGAATGCAGTCAGATGAAGTAGAGATTACCGACGAGGAAGAAATGCATAAGAAACTGAAGAGAATAATATTCATCAGAACGAAAGGCTACATCGTCGGACAACCAAGCCTGTGATTTCACTTTGGCCTTCTTCACTACGAGTGAGAAAAGATGGTCCAGTGACAGACCTGTAAATATAATGACGAAATGGTGACCTGGAGACCGCCAACATATCATTTATTTATTTTGTGTCTGTTTATTAACAACGCAATATTCTCGTTATGCTCTGTGATACTCGTACTTTATATAATGTATAACGGATAATAAAGGGCTGCATCGAACTGTTAATTATGCGTGAATAGCGCCACGGCTCAAACTAAACTTTCATGATCCTGCAGGTTGCAGTCCCTGCTTTAGAGCTAGGGAGATCATTTATTGTTCTTGTGTGCTTCACCCGGCTATTTCCAAACGAAGACGACTATGATTAATTCGTTGAAGCATTATGTCATAAGGCGAAATGTCAAGGGGTCGATTCCCGACGAGGTCACTGGATTTTTCAATTGAACTAATCCTTCCAGCCACACTTTGACCCTAAATATACTCAGCCTCTAACAGAAATGAGTACCAGGAATCTTCGTGGGGGTTACAGGGCGGCCGGCGCTTAAGGCTGACAACCTGACCGCCATCAGTGAGACGATTGTCTTAGAAAATTTGGGAGCCTCGACGTCTCACAACCCTATGGGCCTCCATGGCCTGTTGCAGGGATAGCTTTACTTTTATGAATTGCTATAAGCCGGAATGAATTATTGTCCTTGTTTTTCCTATTCGTGACTTAGAGTCGAGTTCCGGATCGGGCCCTGGAAGCGAGTGACGCGTCACGAGTTCGCAGTAAGGAAAACAGGCGGTAACTACCAGCCTTCCCTATATGTTCCCTATATGACGCAGTAACATTCATCATTTTAGCTTCAATTTAAAGTACTTGATTTCTGATTCTGCTTGGCCAGAAACATAAAAAAATATTTTTAAGTATAATCTTTCTTTTTGTCTCCCGGTTCCAATTCCATCTGGCCCTTTTCCATGATCCAGTAGTTTCCGTGGTGACCATCGCGTAGAGGCGTATCCCTTTTTCTTTCTATCGTAAGTGTTGTAACAAACTGCACGTCTGATGCTAATGTCTGCCAGCAGAAAGGGTGGCAATTAGCACAAAAATAGGTTTCCCACAGTCATCAATGTCGACCTCAGTAACACCCTTGTTTGTGTTTATGTTTCTTGTTGGCGACGAAAGCATACGTCACAGGACCTTATTTTGCTCGTGGGCTTAGAGGAGCGCTTCGTAGCTAGTCTTTTGTATCTGAGAGCATTCTGATTATGTCTGGGTCGTATAGGATAAGATGATGTTAGTTGTCATGGTGGCTCTATCCGGAAATTTCCATGACAAGCGTCATCTCCGTAGCAACGTTTAGAAGCTGTCAGAACTCTTCAGTGTTACGAAACGTGTCAACTCGTGTCACAAAAGCAGGCAAGACTTTTATCCCTGGTAATTTTCCTCCTTCACAATAACCTTTTCGTTCGCGGCTGTATTTCTTACGTTATTATATTTTCAGGTTTAGTTTCCCCACAGATAAATCTGATCCTTATGGACACTCTAACTGCCTCTATTTCTGAGATTTTGAATCGGGGATCATCGGAATAAAACGCCGCTCCCGTTTACATGAAACGTACTCTTTGTCGAGTAGCTGATAGTCCCTTAGCTAGCCAGAAAAATGTCGTTCCGATCATAGAACTCGAAGGTTCATTACCGCATTCACAAGAGCCTCCACTTGATCCTGACCGAGCTAGATGAATCCAATCCACATCTTCACACCCAAGTCCGTGGCCTGTAATCCGCAAGCGAACTATACCGATCGAGCGACCGCCACTTATCGGCGAAGTTAGTGCCCACTGTAGCGGTTAGAGGGTGTTGCATGGTCAGCGCAACGAATCCCCATGACCGTTAGTTTCGGTTTATTAACCGGAGTCGCTATTTCCTTGAAATAGCTCCTCAGTTATCTTAATGAGGCGGGCGCGCCATAGCTCAAGCGTTTAGTCGCTGGCTTCCCACCTCTGCGGCCAGGGTTAAATCCCGAGTCTGGTCAAGTGGGATTTGTGGTGGACAAAGTCGCGCTGGGCCGGGTTTTCTCCGAGTACTTCGGTTTCCCTTGCCAATCTTCATTCCACCAAATTCTCCATCACAATCACCCGTGGCAGGCTACAATAGGACAATCAGTGGTGGCCGTGCGGTGTGGACCCAGCTGGACTTAACCCCCACTGCGCGAATTAAAAAAAAAAAGAATCTTCATGAGGCTGTCTTCACGTCGCATATTACCCAAATATTTTGGGGTCTTTAAAATAAATGTTGCTTTCTAAGAAACTTCCTGGTGAACTGTAACAGTTTGTGTCTCTTACAGCTTCTGCTGGAACACCTCGAGTGCCTGGTTTCCCGACACGAGCGGTCGCTGAGGATGACGGTCGTTAAGCGGCAGGCGGCGACACAATCCGGTGTCTCTAGCGAGGTCGAGGTGCTCAAGGCACTTAAGAGCCTCTTCGAACACCATAAGGCGCTCGACGAGAAGGTAAGTCGCATTATCTGTGGACGAAAACGTGTTTCTATGGTTTAGCCACTTGTATGTTCCGGTAACCTCTATTGCTGGGCGTCGGCGAACAGATGACCTAAATGAGGTTTGTATAAGTTTGTGGACTGACTCATGTTACAATCGAGACGGACGGACACTTTTTCGTGCAACGAGTTCTCCATTTAAATCTTAAGAAAAACGATACTGTGACACACTCAACGCATTGCCGGGCAACAGCTCAATAAACACCTTCTCGCTTAAGGTAACATAACAGTAGGACAAATGTTTATAGCTCGTTTCTAGGCAACAGTCAGTGAGCCAATGGACTGGCGACATAGTTATCACGTGACTTGTTTTCTGTGTGGCCTGCGCTACACAGCAATAAAACTGTGTTTTCTGTGCGTGGTCCGCGCCGAGTGGGTATGAGAGAGGTCGGGAGATGGGAATTGACGTCACTTGAGTTCTGAACTTCCAATGCAACAGCAGAGTGGCCAGAAGAAGAATTAGAAGGCTTGGTGTGTGACGTTACATGTGCTGTAGTTACAGTAATCTTGAGAGTGTAAAAACTAATTGTATGTACGACTAGTGAAGATCCAATAAACCGATTCACCAATCCAAACCCGCGTCTTAGTCACTGAAACACGTGACAATGCGATCCTAAATGCAAACAGTCAGCCCTGAACTGTCAACATACGTTTCTTTCATTCGGTATTTCCTTGCTTTTTACAGCAGGTTTGGATGGCTTTGAGGCTGTAGACTTGTATTAGGAAAGTACCTGGTTTGGATACGCGGACGGACAGTCGGTATCTTCACTTAGGGTTGTGAGATATGAGGTCTTTCTTGTATTTCCTTGTCAGTACAAACGAATATGAGTACAGACCACTGTCATCTCCTTGCATGGCTTTAAGTATATACAGTTCCACGTCTCCCTGTCTCGTTCAACCCTCAAGGCCTACATACTGTGCAGTTGTAATACCGTTTTTTTAATTCACTAGTTGGGGGTGGAGTCCAGCTGGGTCCATTCGGCACGGCGGCCACTGATTGGCCTATTGTACCTGCCCCGGGTGATTATGATAATGGAGAATTTGGTGGAATGAAAATTGGCAGGGGAAACCGAAGTATTCGGAGAAAACCCGCCCCAGCGCCACTTTGTCCACCACAAATCCCACTTGACCAAACCCGGGCCGCTGCGGTGGGAAGCCAACGACTAACCGCTTGAGCTGTGGCGTGGCATATGTTGTAATACCATTGTCAGATAACCCAATAGTTAGCAAGACATGCTGTTTTATGTACATGGAATATGACCTATTAAAAGGGAATTGTATATAAAGTTCTGCGGTAAGATATTGTTCCCCAATAAAACTTCAAAAACAAGAAACTCCGTGGCCTGTGGTCCGCAAGCGCACTATAGCAACCGAGCGACCGCCGCTTGTCGGCGAATTTAGTGCCAACTTTTGCGGTTAGAGGGCGTCACGTGGCCAGCGCAACGGATCCCCACGGCCGTTAAAACTTTTTCTTGTATTCTTACTGTGGGGTGGGAACGAGTCCCTTGCTATTTGGGGCCACAAGCGGGCGCGTTTTACCAGCTCTATATGACAGGTGAGAGAATGGAGTGGAATGACTTTTGACAGGGAAGACAAAGTACTCCGACAAAAAATTGCCTCATCTCATCCCAGATCCCTGATGGACTGCCCTGGATTTATCTCTCTCTCTCTCTGTCTGTCTATCTAAAATTACGTTTGTCATATGCTTCAGCGCAAAAGTAGTTGGCCGTATGTGCCATGAATCGATAAAGCAGTGTGCTTCATTCTGTCTGCATCCATAGACCGGTGCTTGTCTAATTTAAACTGTGAGGCAGGTAGACAGGGAGGAGTAATATGATGTCAAGTGTACCGAAAATATTAGTTGAGCTTTGTGAGTTCACTGGTAGCGCGAGTTGTGGAGTCCATCTGCGCATGTACCAAAGACGCTTCACATCAGAACAAAACATCGCCCCACCAACCTATTTCAAATCGTTTCACAGGTAATCCGGCTTCTTCATTCTTGTACATAATATTTACGCTTTTAAATGTGAATTCATTCATTCTGTTGGGATTAGTGGATATATAGCCTACTTTAGTAAATCTCTTCGACACTGAAGATGAAGGCGATACGTTGCTCCGAAACGTTGGTGACGTTTGCCTGACTGCACGGCGTTACAACCCAGATATTCATAACCATCATAGTCGCTTCTGTGAGGACCGCAAATCTAACAGATCAATATGTATTGATACTTGCTGTCCACTAACACAGCAGGACTACTTTTGTTCTGTATTTCACGTCACATCCCAACTTAGCGGATAGAGGGTGTCGCGTGGTCAGCGCAACGAATCCCCACGGCCGTTAATCTCGGTTTTCTAGATCGCAGCCGCTATTTCCTCGAAATAGCTCCTCACATACCCTCACGGGGCCGAGTGGACCCCGTTCCAGAACCAGTACTTAGAAAATCTGGTAGCGCCGGGACCACTGGATCTATAGCCAGGAACTCTGACCACTAAACCACAGAGGTGGTGTAACTTCGCCGACAAGCGGCGGTCGCTCGGTCGTTATAGTTGGCTTACGGACTAGAACCACGGAGTTTTTTTTCCCCACGTCCCGTTATTTAATAAAGTCATTCTTGTCTCATTGATTGAAGGTTTTTGAGAACAAAGTCCTGAGGAGAACATTTAAACCCAACACAGGAAGTAACAATAGGAGGGAGACTGTTACGTAATTAGAGTGTGATTATTTGTTCTTTCAACAAATAAAAAGATGGTCGGATCGAGGCGAAGATGATGAACTGGCGATGTAGTACGTATGGCGAAGGAGGGAAATACAGACCACATTGTAGGAAAACCTAAAGGGAATATACAAGTTAGAAGTAATGGCTGGAGAGGATGTGAACTAGAGTTATATGCTCATGATAAAGACTCCATTTTGAGCTCTTGTGGACTCGGCTATGAACCTTAGGTCTTGTTTTAAACGGGAATTTGTTTACCATTGGATCGATATTCAGGTCCCCATAGAATCTACTCCTCTTCTACCAGTTCTCTTCTTGTGGCCGCGCCATAGCTCAAGCGGTTAGTCACTGGCTTCCCATCGCGGCGGCCCGGGTTCGATCCCGGGTCTGGTCAAGTGGGATTTGTGGTGGACAAAGTGGCATTGGGACAGGTTTTCTCCGGGTACTTCGGTTTCCCTTGCCAATCTTCATTCCACCAATTGTTCCACAATCACCCTCACCTATCATCTGGGGCTGGTGCAATAGGCCAGAAGTGGCCGCAGTAAAAGGGACTTGTCCCACCCCACTAGCAATAAAAGAAAATGCAGTAAACTCTAAATGCCGGTCACGGTAGCCGAGCGGTCTAAGGCATGTACTGTCTTCGCTCGCTTGGAAACCGGGATCGTGGGTTCGGATCTGTTTCCTGTGAGGTACGAACTGAATTCTTATATATTATTCTTATACACTGCCGGTCACNTGAGGTACGAACTGAATTCTTATATATTATTCTTATACACCGCCTGTCACGGTAGCCGAGCGGTCTAAGGCATGTACTGTCTTCACTCGCTTGGAAACCGGGATCGTGGATACGAATCCCACTCAGGGCATGGATGTTTAGTTTGTGTGTGTGCGTTTTTCTGTGTTTGTGTACAGGTAGAGGCCTTGCGACGAGCTGATCACCCGCCCAAGGAGTCCTACCGAATGTGTAAGATCTAGAAAAACTGAAGTGAACGGAGAAGTTCATGAAGGTAGGCCCCACTGGGGCTGTAGTGCCAAGGGGGGGGGGGAACAAAAAAAAGACTCTAAATAGGGTAATGTTGTCTTACTGTTATTACGTTTATTTCTCTCTCTCCTTTATCATTTCATATGCTCTTCATACTTCATGAGACGTGAAATTAGATTTTGTTGTTTCATCTTAGCAGCTTTTTTAGTTAGTCTTCTTCTTGTTATCTGAGTTTCCCGCTGGGTAGGAAAGTACACAGAATGTTGCAACAAGGGAGAGTGCTTTATTTGTAGAGCCCCCGTGTCGCTGAAAATGAAGTGCAGCAGTCGATAAAAGTTCGTTCACCACTTGACGCTTAACTCAGTGTGACCGCTTATAGTGGCATTACTGAAGTCCACCGAGGAACAGCATTTCGGGGTTAACTTAGAATTACCGTGAATTCAGAGCGCTTGGAGGAGACGAGGTTAGGACCTATCAAATTTCTTGGATTTGAAACCCAACTCGGGTGACGTGACAGCCCCTCAAGTTTACTGGCTATTGGATGCTGCTGAATTCAGTAAATCGAACTTAATTTTTATTGTTGCACTTCCTACAAACTTGCCTTCCTCCTGTTAGCGTGAAAAATAAATATGACTTCAAGATATGGTTAATTCCGTTTATGTTTCAGTGCTCCACAATTTTTATGTATGAATTTAAAAATTGAGTTCGTCCTCAACGCGCCCATATATTTTTTTTTCTTTTTGTCACATACTATGAAATCACGTATTTTTTTTTTTCATTGGCGCTACAGCCCTCATTTGGGCCTAGGCGTACCTGCATGAAACTCAGATTCACTTCGGTTTTACTAGATCTTACACATACGGTAGGACTCCTTGGGCGGGTGTGAAATCACGTATACCACAAATATATCATGATTTAATGATTATAAAACAGAATGAATACTTGTATTTTCGACTGATTTTATTGCCATTTCGAGTGTGGGTTTTTACATAATTAAACTGCGTGGCTCTAAATTCTGGAAATATATGTTGCTGTTCGGCTTCACAAGGACAAATGTCTGGTTGTGCAGAATAATGAGTTTGCCAGTTCTTATGTGAAATGTGATCTTACCTTAAGGAAAGGGCGTAAATTACGGACGTTTGGGAACAGAGTCAGAGTCACATTGAGACTGACGGTCAGTCAGTCAGTAAGTCTTGGTGTCGAGCCCTATCTGAGGCTCATAACGAGATATTAATTATTACCGTTTGACAGTTACGGTCT